TATTCAGGGGAAAAATCCCAAGGAGTACAATCAGAAAGAAACACTCGAAGGTGTAGGGGCGAAACTGTTCAAGTATCTAACTAGTCACTGGCTCTGAGCATCGGCAGTCACCCGCAGGTGCAGATCCGAACTACTCAAGTCTCTAACCAATGTACTAGCTCTGAACATTCGGCCGAAGGCCTTCAGCTACAAAATGCGGAACGCTAAGTTGTAACTCCTCGTGCGTGGTGACAGAACTCAAGGACACAAACACGCAAAGGAAATGGGTTCCTGATCTGCACTTCTGATGGGAAAGAACCCCAGGCAAAACGCCTGGAACTATTTTATACCTTCTAAGTCCTAACTAGCACTACACTGCACCACGCCAAGGTGCGAGCCGCAACAGATCCCACACCTGAGGAGTCGGCGGCTGCCTTCCCCTCTAACTTACAACCTAAATCTAACCCTAACCCTAAATCTGAATCCTAAGCCTACTGTGTACAGAGCCGCCAGCGCCTTACCATCCAAGATCTGAGGCTGAAAATTTGCAGGCATGCGTGGCCGGCCGAGATCAACGGCCCCACAAAATTTCAGATCCATCCGACCGTCCATCGCAAAGATATGGGCCCCGCAAGATCTCTGAACCTAGGCCAAAATTCCTTCTCCAAAATCCGAGGACTGTGGGTTCCACGCGTCCTACACGCAAGCCGCCTACTCGCAGGCCGCCACTGCCACACCTGAACATTCTACATTCATGACCACCCGATCCTCGCCGGAGGAAATCTCCTTCCGCGCACCGCCGAATGCGTCCAACCGCCAAAGACGCACTTCCACACCTTGTCAATCTCTAACAGTCACCCCGACGCCCATAACTCACGGATCCCTGCTTCGTTTGCAACGTTCTTGGGCTCGTTGGAACAAGCGTGTTGTGCTCTTTCCAACGAGCCCCTAACCAAGTCAAACGGATAAGAATTGAGAAAGTTATCACTGTTTTACTCTTCCGCCGAAGGCCTGCAACCGTCGAAGGCGTCCGTCCGCGCATCGGACAAAAGTCGATCTCCCTACCTCCGAAGGCGGAATTCCCGGAAGCGTAACCCCGAAGGCGAACATCTAGGGCCGAAGGAGAACGTCTACGTATCTTCCGATAGTCCTAACTCCCTAAATTCCCATCCGTCCCAGGCGTTCTTGGGCTCGTTGGAACGAGCGTCGCGAGCTCTTTCCAACGAGACTCTAACCACCGCAAACCATTAAGAATTGAAAACACTATGTCAATTTTACCCTTCCGCCAAAGGCCTGCCTGTGCACAGGCCGCCTACTTGCAACCCGCCTGTGCACAGGCCGTCCGCCTGTGCACAGGCGTCCGCGTCCGTCCGCGGCGTAAGCCGCCTCTCTAAGTGTTAACGCCGAAGGCCTCTCTAAATGTTAGCACCGAAGGCCCTCCATATCAGAAACTTCCGCCGCTTCTAACTCGGTGATGCCTCATCCGTTTCAAGAGATCTTGGTCTCGTTGGAATCAGTGCGTCGAGCTCTTTCCAACGGGACCCTAACTTGGTCAAGGCGCCCGAGGGTTGAACTAATTATGGAGAGTTTCCCTACAGCCGCGGACGCAACCTCCGGAGGCGGGTTTTGCGCCTTGCGTCGTAAGGTTCCTAACTGCAGAGCTCGCAGGGAGGGTGGTGCCTGTCCTTACTGCTGCACCCCAAATCCCAGATTCTACAAGATCCCTCGAGAATCCCCGCGATCTTCCGGATTCACTCTGTTTTGATGTACCGAAGGCTATTTACAATGCTGCCAGGGTACAGTTTTCCAAAAATGTTTTAATTTACTCAAAATTGCCAAAAGTGGGGTACCACAATATTCAACAAATCACGATTTCGCCACCATCGGAAGTACACAAGGGATGTAATGCGGAAAGATGGATACTTTATTGCTGTCAATAAGGTGCTAATGACAGCAGAGCCTTCCATGACCCTTCTCGCACAAGTGATCTGATATGCAAATTCATCCACCGCCCGATATTGCTATCGAGGTGCCGAATTACTGTAGTTTCCATTCTTAGATGAATGATAATACATACTAGTGAAATCTATACTCGCTCCGAAGTGCAGTGGCGAAATGGAGCGTAAAGTATCTATCAATGAAGTCTTGAAGAGAGTTGCGTAAATACACTCACGGGAATCCCTGAGACTGGATCAGCAGTTTTTGATTCAGGTCATATACTATTGACTCAAGTGGTGATGCTAATCCAGTAAAGAAGGGCCAGTGGTAAAAATGTTGATGTGTTATCGTATATTCGTTTCCTAATGTCTCTTCCCTTGTCTCGATGCTTCCCATCTCTATCTTTCTACTTGAAGGTATTCGAATAGTATTCATCGATGGCCTCTTTTAACCTGTTGAACATGCAGAAAGATTCATTTGCATCCCAGCATCTCAGTTCTAGTAAGCCATGTATCAAGCCATGGTTGACTAGCTGATGTCTCTCTGTGGAAGACTCTGATAACATGCTTGTGCTGGCCGTGATCTCAGCAGAATGGTAATCGCCAGCACGCTCAGAACTGTGACATATATAATTGTGGTAGGTTCGTAGCACGAATGCTTTTGCAGTTGGCCTGCGTGGGGACGTTCAGTTACAGACGCTCTTGCAGCAATTTGACTTTAACATCGAGAAGTGTTTTTCAAAAGATGGACAACCTCGTTTGCTGAATTTCAAAATGAAAGTATTTTCGTTCAAGATGCTTGACTTGGATATTGAGTCGAAGTCAACCACGCATTATACCACTATATCCAACCATGCGTTAATAACTTATTGCATGGTTGGATTAGAGCAGTCATGACAGTTCAGTACAGGATGTTATCCTTTGGAATGGAGATGATAACCAAGAAATGGACCATCCAACCAAATCTTCGTACCAACAGCAGAAGATCGTGTCACCGCACGTCAGCAGTGGTACGAGCAGACATGGATGCAATGTCCTGGTAGCCGAGTCTCGCCACAGAGCCAGGATTGATCTTTGGCAGTCCACTTGCACCGAACATCGTTCATGAGAATCCTGTCAGCTGCTGTTCTTGTCCTCCCATGAACATTCTCGTTGAGCAGCATCAGGATGTAAAATATTGTCCATCACATGGGTCCAGGTGAGGAGGAGGAGGAGGAGAGCTGGATTTCTGACTCTCAAACTCCCGTAAGTTGACCGATCATCCCTCTTCTCTTCCGTGCTCCTTAGATTCTCTAGTGCTCCGAACAAGCACCAGAAAAGATTCCTTTGAATTGGTTGCCGAGCCCGAAGAATTGTCCTCGGTCGGTAATCAGTCAGTCTCATTGGCGGGGCCACATGCTTAAAAGCTAGATGTTCAACTCTTTAAATAAATGTAAACATTTCGTTCGACTAAACGCTCAAATCTTTCAATCTGTTCACTTTACCGCGAGGAATTCATCGAAAAGATTACTTTAGATTCCGTTTCTCACATCTGGTCTACGAGTCTTAAAAAAAGCCTTCATGTCGGCAGCTTTGCAACGGAGAGACACTCAACTGGATGGAAGACAGTCCAGAAGAAACTTTAATCTCTCCTCTGGCAGCCTATCTTATCCCTGTGAGTTTTTGAGTAGACGGCTCGATGGGATCTCCAACATCTTTGTTGCTTCAAATTTCTACTCTGATTTCCTGTGAAGCAGCGGTACTCTACTGCTTACAAGGAAGATGCTGTGAGCACTTGACGTGTGGTAGATTTATATGACTGTACAGTAACCCTGCCTACTGCATAATAGGTACTTCTGCATTTAGGGGAAAAGTATGGAATACATACCCATCAAGTAGCGTGGGGATGAAACCAAATGGGTGTCTTCCTAAAAAGATATTGTGTAAATGTTCTCGGTCGAACACCGAGTAATCTAATAAACAGAATGGAAGTCAACATCAGTTGGAACGTTTTCAGTTTCACGATGGAAAAAATGTCCTATTATAGGAACAGCTGGGGCAAAATAAATGTATTCAACTTGTTGCCTGAAAATGGTAAGAAATATTCATTATGGTAGTGGATTGTCGGGTTCAGCACTCAAGATGACTCTGGTGGAAGGAGATTTACTTCGATCGGAAGCAGAAAAACCAATCCTCGTACCAAGTACCTCACCTTCTAAATCTCGTCTAAATTCCCTTCGCCATCCGATCATAGTTGTGTTTAAAACACAGCTATGATCGGATGGTCGACGGGTTAGCAATCTCCTGTCCCGAGGGGAGACAGGTGCAGACAGTTAGTAATAACCCAATGGCTTCGAAATATCTGATTAATATCCACAACGATGAAAGCGGGGCTCAGAAAAATTCATAATATATTTAGATCTGATGGCTAGAGATCAAAATTCAACCGGTGAAGATGTTATTTATTACCTCTGAATTTCATCAATCGTTAGGAAATATGAAAGTAAGATCCATGAGTGACGCGCTTTTGTGGACTCTGCTTGACTCAGTTAGACATTACATCTCTGTCTAACAGACTGGACCTCTAGAAATTTCCAGTTATTACTCTGACCCTTCAGCAGCCGTCAGAAGCTCAGGGGATCTGAACACACATGTCGGTTCAAAAAAGACAGCACGGACAATTCGCTTTTCATAAGCTGACTATTGAAGTGGGCTCCACTCCCACTGAGATGGCCACGAAGAACAACGTGGACCACTTTTCTGGAATCTCATTGAACGTGGTGTACCAGTAAGTGCTCCAGTTCTTGAGCTGGGAAATTTTGTGCCTGGTGACGTACAATGGCGCATTGGACTATAAGTACTCGGAATGAAATCCCGATCGATGGCGTGTCTGATCCTCGCCCGACGACTCACCCAGCCAGGAACGAAGGGGCGAGGAAACCCATCGTGTGCATGTGCGATTGTGAAGCATCGAAAATTTAGCCCAGGGCTCTCGTTGCAGCTCGTGCTTTTGTTCTGCTCAGTGATATTCGACAGATCTAGAGCAGTGACACGAAGGAAAGCGCCTCCAACGTTTCCTTTTACGGCCGCGCACCAATGCCATGTGAGGGTGAGCTCGAGCCCGATCGGAGTTAAAGTTTATCGATTATTCGAGTTTCCATGTAAGTTTGTCTTTTACTTTGAACTTTGACCGAGATCTTCATTTGAAGTCATGAATCACTGTTATCTAACCTTTAGCATATGAATCATTTTCCAAGTCATTTGTACACCACAGTTTTTCTTCACTTGCAAGCAAGTTCTTGAGAGGATTGACATTGATCTTCGCAAGTATCATGCTGGTTCTATCGTTTTTTATATGGAGTGCTCTTAGCACGGACAAAATCAGATTTCATTTTAATGGTTGAGGTCTAAACACCTCCAGACATTGGTAGTAGGACTGTGCATGCCCTCAAATGCTTGACAGTTGAGGTAGAAGAACAATCATACCAGCAGTTCAAAACCTCGAGTCCTCGTGAACTCTCTACCCATTTTTTCGACAATATGACTAGAAAACTCCCACAAAGTTGATAATTTTGTTCTGAACCTACGAGATATGCAGGGTAATGAAGACCACTGGACCGATCTTCAAAGCAAGAAAGAGCACAACAGGATTTTTCCACTAAGGTAACCATTTATGTGCCTCAGAATACATCCATTTGCTTGAATAGATGAGAGATTTCACGAAAATGTATTCAATGAAGATGATGTTTGAAATCTCTGTTGTAACGACATCAAGTTCATCAGCACACTGATGCACTCATTTAGTTATCCCGTTCGCTTGCACAACAAAGTCAAGATTTGCTCTGAACTTCTAAGAACATTTTCCAATCACATAGAGTATAGAGGAACACGCTTGTTGTGTTCATATGTTGTCGTTACCTTGATCGCTCACACGATTCAATCAGAAGATCTTATTGAATACAATGCATTCAATTTCCACGCCCATCATAAAGTCTGTCTTCCAGTGAGTCGCATTCTCCCATTCCAGATGTACATCCAGTTTTACACAACGTAGTTTAGTTTACATCTGAGATATCTGCGTTTCCATACATTCCATGACCTTCTTCGTACACATAGCAGCATTTTTGCTACAAACCAGTCTTTTATATTTCAGATTCACCTGCAGAGCCATCATCAATTCCACTCAGTTCGAGTTCCTTCACCTCTGCAGATCAAACAAGAAACGCTAATCTTGCTTTGCACACGCTCTATGATTGGCTTGGAACCAGTATCCTGATCTGTGAGTTCATTTTGATTCACATCGCCTTTCATGCTCTGCATTGAAATCTAACCTCCTACTTCCACTTTGCACAATCTTCTTGCGTTTGTAGCGAATTGCTATTGACTCAATTTTGTGCAGAGCTTAGAGTAATCTTTGTGTCGCTACTCATGCAGAGAGCAAGAAGTCTCATGCCCACCATGCACTTGCACACGAGCTGTGACACTACGACGGAAAGTTCAGATTTATTCGGGTGAGCCGTGCCTGCAGATCGAGGAGGGGGCTTCCTGTAGGCCCGGATATATTTCGCTCGCGCATGCCACGCAGCACACGTTTCTTTGTCTGTGAGAGAGGAAGAGACTGGAAGGTGCAGGTGTGCACATTGCCATTCTCAGTCACGGTGCCGAGACACGGGGAATGGACTCCACACACGAGGAACCAGAGAGTCGCGCTGCCGAGACACTGGGGATGGACTCCATAGACGAGGAACCAGAGAGTTTTGACGTGAGCGAGACAGACGAGCAACCGAAGCTTCCGTCCGCTGTCCAGTACCTTATACGGCTTCTGGAAGGCAAAGGCCAGCCTTTACGGAACCTTTACCAACGTCTTTTCAACCCAGAAATCCGAGAGTTCTTTCCGGATAGTGCAGCGCTGTCGACGATCACAGGGTGGCGAAGCCAAGTGCGCCTTCGAGTGCTGGAGGCAATCGGCAACTGCAACACCTTTGAGGATCTCACCGTGCCATTCATTTATTACGGAGCTAAATATGACGAAGCTAAATATGGGGAGATAGTTCGAGATTGGGGAGATATATCGAGGTTGACGGCAAGCGAGTGGGAGATAGTTTGCAGAGGATTCATGTCTAGCACCGTCCTAAAAGAGATCAGCCTTTCCCAATTGAGATGGGGTTCAGATGAGGAAGTGGAGAGCTTCTGTTTACAGCTGGGGGGAATTCTGAATTCCTCTAGCGTGACACACTTGACAATAAGGGGTTGCGAATTGAATGCCAGATGTTGGTTGAATCTCGCCTCAGGACTGCGAGGACATTCCGATTCTAAACTCCAGACGTTAGATTTAAAAGACGCGTGGGAGGACTCGAGTGCGGTGAAGCATGTGGCTGAAATGATCAACAGTGCTCCACTATTACAAACGTTGATATTACGCGAGAGTCCGAAAACGGATGATGAGGCCGTTGGAATGCTGTCCCAGGCTTTAATCCAGAGCTCGTCTTTGCAAAAATTGTCGTTATGGGAGGTGGAGTGGGGAGCGGCCTTGTTGCTGAAAGCTTTGGCCGGAGACGATGGCAACCGATCCATTGAACGTCTTATCCTGGATGGAATGGATGGACTCGGAGACTGTTTGAGGCAAGTTCTTTCTTCCAACCCATCATTGAAGGAAGTGTGTTTGGACTCCTTGCGGATGAGTCCTGAGGAATGGCAGCAGCTCGGCGAAGTCATACGTGACAAGGCTACAGCAACAACTATTAACGTACGATTTTTCTTAAGCCAAAACGTTGAACATGAGTGGAAGTCAATAGAAGCTGTTGCGTGTGCTGCTAGCTCCGATGTCAAGGACCCCACAATGGAGCTTGACATCTACTCTAAGTGGCTGTGTAACGATGATGTGATGTTTTCAATGAACCTATTAGGTAGGGTCCTGGGCGGAGAAATCAAATCTATAAAAGATTTCTCCATATCCGGGTTTGTTTCTTCAGGTAGCAACGAAGATAGACTCGAAAGTATCCTGTCGATGAATGGAAACACTGGAGAGACTTCAGTCCTGAAGAAACTGAGATTGAATGTTGTCCACAAAGATGTTTGGAAAGTCCTGCTTCGGGGCTTGCGAGGGAACACAAGTCTCACTCACTTATATTTGTCTCCCTCCAAAATGGAAGAAGAGGTGTTCATGGACGCGATGGGGATCCTGCGAGAGAACACAACTCTCACTCACTTGGCTTTGACTGGCTCCGAACTCCACGAGGAGGCGTTCAGGGACGTGATGGGGATCCTGCGAGAGAACACAACTATCACTCACTTGGCTTTGACTGGCTTAAAACTCCACGAGGTGGCGTTCAGGGACCTGATGGGGCTCCTGCAAATCAACTTGACTCTCCAGGATATAGATGTCAACTACACCTCATGGACAATGGATGGGAAGGAGGCGTTGATTAAAGAGGCGCTCAAGCAGAACCAGAAGCGGGCCGGGTACATGTCCGTCTTCTGCGAAGCCAAATTAGCATTTGGAGATGCAAAAGCTGGTCGACTCTTCTTATGCGGCTCTCCTCTAGCAGGTAACGTGCTCTGTGCATTCTCAGTTTTTTTCTCAATGCATGCAAATTAGCAATCTAGGGTTTGACTTTTCAAAATTGAATATTAAAGTCGAAAGATTAAATTTCTTATCTATAAGTATTTGGAATTGTGTAAATATTTGAGAAAACTAGATTGAAAAGAAAACTAATATTCCAAAGTTTTAGATTATAAATAAGACTTATTTTATGATTTTAGATTTTGATGTGAAATTTGGATTTTTTCCAATTCTGTTTATCTATAAATATGATTAAATAATATGGTAGCAAATAATTTGTAAAAATATCTCTAGTAACAATTTATATTTCTTTTGATTCTCTTGATTCTCATTTCATCTGCAGGCAAGACTCAAGTGCGTCAAACCCTGATGAGGATAGTTAAAGGGCAAAGTTGGATTGGCAACAAAGTGAAGAAGTTGAGGAGAACGAAGGGAATTGAAGTGGAATACTTGCAAAACAATGATAGAAGTCAAATCTCAATATGGGATCTTGCAGGACAAGGCATTTTCCGTACCCTTCAAAACGTGATCTTCCCTCAATCCAACAATTTTTGTATTTTCCTATTTGTTTATAGTCCCTTCCGTGAAGAAGATTCTTCATGGAATGGGACTGTTTTTTCTGCAGAGAAAGAAGAGGATTGTTTTGAGACTGAGTTGGAGGAATGGTTATGTTTTATCACTTCCAGCACTAGGATCACGGGACATAGTCTTCCACAAGTTCTTGTTGTGATTACACACAAGGATAAAGTTCCATACAGCTCTTTAAAGTGGGCTGAGAACATAATAGGCACACTAACCAAAAGATTCGCAAATTTTGTGGATCTCCACCAAGAGGTTTTTCATTTGGATGCACGGAAGAAGAAGGAAGTTATTCCTCTCCAAAATCACATTTTTGAGAATTTCAAAAATTTGTTGTGTGAAAAGTCCCCGCGGGTTCCCCAATTGTGTTCACACCTCTACTGCCTCTTGGTTTCAAACACCAAGAAGAATAGAAGTTGCCCTCTCTTGCCATCCAAAGACTTCAATGAAATCTGTGCTCCTAGTTTGACAGAATTTGTTCCATCATCTTCAACTCATTCAGTTGGTCATGAGAGGATAATGAGCGCAATAATATCATATTTGAATGACGTTGGATCCATCATTTCTATCCCCAACCTTGATTACATCATTGTAGATCCTAACTGGCTTACTTATACATTATTGGGTAAGCTGGTAGCTCTAGGTCAAAACTTTCAACCTATAAAGTCCAGGTCCTTTGAAAGAAGCGCATACGCAAGCAAGGACGGATTTGTCAGCGAGATCGTCTTTGTTCGCTTGATGGAGGAGTTTCTGCGAAAGCAACCACATGGACAGGGAGGTGTGACCACTCAGGTGCTTGAAGACATACTCATTAATTTAGATTTGTGTTTCAAGGTGGAAGATACTTCTCAGTATTTCATTCCTTCCTTCATACCTGAGCATGCAAACACGGAAGACCAGAAGCCTCAAGAATTGGCTTGGGAAACAAGGGATAAGAATTCACAGTTTGTCGGCATCCGAATTCAATGCCAAGATGCAAGAACAATGGCACTAACGGCTGCTTTTTTCCCATGCTTTCAGGTGATTTCATATATACTGTGAGAAGATTGAATGCGTCAACTTCTGATTGTAGCCTATGTGTGATGGAGTGTTCTTTTCTCATAGGATGAATTCAATTTATGAAATGCGCAGCTCAATTTTTGTTAAATTTTGTATCATTGCAGATGTTCATGAGACGCAAGTTGATATCGGAGTTGAATGTTTCCAAGAAGAATGTGACCTGCTCTCGACACTATCTGCAACTTTTCCTTGATGGGCATGAGATCTACATCGAGCAAGGAACGTCCCACAAATACGTGGATGTACTGATGTTACGCTCGAAGCATAAATCAAGGTCGGAGGCTCTGCAATACGTGATGAAGCATATCGTAGAGGAGTTGAAATCATTCTGCGCATCACCCAAAGGCTGTCCCGGGGTGGCGTTAGTGTTGGGTGTGATCCAAACACTTTGCGTGGAGAAGCTGATTCCGAGTCATCTCAGAGGAGCAATTCTGATAGAGGAGCTCAAATCAAACTTCATTCGTAGCATCAATGAGAAACTTGAGGAAATTCTGTCGAATAGATTGCACTTGGTGAAGGATGAAGATTTGCTCAACTATGAGCAGTCTTGGCCCTCGATTGAAGGGCACACACTGAAAATAGGCGAAAGAGCTAGATATTTGCTGCGAGAGAGCGATGTGAAAGCGGTTGTGAATGAGATCCGACAAAGGTGCGTTCAACAATTGAGCAATGATTTGGATCAACCTTACAGTGAAAGTGATAACAGGGTTGGCAATTCAAGTTCTTCATACCGTTTTGAGAGGTTGAGATCAATAGAGAGCAAGTTGGGACACATACTTACTTCCCAACAAGAACTACAGCCAACTAGAGTCAACAAGAACTACAGTTTATTCAGGTCTGAAGTGGACAGGTTGATTCAGTATTTTCATTCGCTTCAGCAGGCGAAAACTCCGAAGATACCATACGTTGCCAACGATGTTGGCATTTTCTATAGCATGAGTGCAAAATTGCATTTAGGTAAAACCGTTCGTTTACACTTGATGTGTGAATCTGTCGATGGGTTTCACATGGTCAAAGATCAAGAAGGTGTGATGATACGCTTGGATCGGGAGAATTGTGCATGGATTCAGAAAACTGTTGAAATTACATGCAAAGTCATGTATTATGCTGTGAAGGCTGGACTGGATAAGACCCTCAATCTGGGCCAAGCGATTCCGAACTGGGAAGATTTACAATCCGATATTTTTAAACTAGAAGGCATTAGCGATCGTGATCGTAGGGCAGTTAGAAAAGGTGGGAAAAGCATGGAGCTCAACGAAGCATGGCTGAGGATTCAGCAAACTCTTGAGCCTCAGCTTCGAGATAGCTATTCAGCGAGATTCAAGTTGTATCAGGTGAAATACGTGAGTCAAGAATTAGATGAGCATGGATTATATGAGCATGCATGGGTGTGCGAGGAGTGCATGCATAAAGGTCTTAATAGCAGAGTTTTGATAGTTTAGGATTCGAAGGAGGTAGGAATGTCATTATGCAATTGACAAGGATATGTTTAGAGCCTCATGCAATATGAATGTCTGCAAAATCTTCCTTAGAGTTTTTACTCGTAAAAGTCTTTCAAAATCTTTGCAATCATGTCAATCGCGCAGTGATGTTTCTGAGTAATATTTGTCTTTGACTAATCTATCAAAATTACATTTTGAGGACAAAGTTTCACTTGCGGCTTGTTGCAAGTCTCACCATGATGAAATCCCTTCACTCAAACGTTTGGTAGTCAGCATTGAATTTTGATGCATATTCCAGAATGATAGTTCTGTTATTGTTATGAATGATCAGGGTAGAATGGACAGGAATAAAGATCAGATTATCTTATTGTTATACAGTTGGTAACCTTGTTTATACACGAGTGCAATTTTGAGCACTGCATGTTCCGACCACATGCAGTGTTCTAGATGTGCTGGCGTCGGCTTTCCTCACCTGCACTCTTCGAGCGGCAGGCTCTTCAGGAGACGAACACTGCTGTGCAAAACTCGTGGGTCAAATGATTGGAATGTGATTAGAGAGACACCATAGTTTTACGATAAGGATGTTGCGGAGTCTGTGAAAAAGAGGGTCAAGATGTAAGAATCCGAGTGACTTTTTAGATAAGTGATTGCACCTAGGTAGCTTTGTCGCGCTCCATCTGTAATCTATGATGAATTTTATTCTGAAATGGATGGTAAGAATAAATCATGACACAATCAAAACAATTTATTTGCTTTTCTTTCAACTGTTGTCAGGACTAATTTAATGGCAGCTTGGTTGTCTTCTGCAAATTCTATGAGCAAGGCCGTTCATTGAGAAGGGATTGATCTCGAGGCTGTGGTAGAAGAAATCCATAAAATCTTAGATGTGCTAACGATGAGATCAGGGCCGGGAAATTCTACCATCAAACGCATTATGGGACATTTTGGAACATTTTGCTCGCTGATCATGATTATGGAAATACTTTGCAATGGGCGTGCCTTGCAACGTGGTGCAGATCTTCTTAAACGGGAGCAGGCCTGTTTCTAGCAGGGCTGGAAACATTAATTGTTTTGCAATCAGGTTTAAAATTTTATTTTAATTTTAATCCGTAATGTACTATTGGCATAAAATCTGGGTTTAGATTTTTTTTTACTCATTTGCCTGCTAATGAGGCGAAAGAGTTAAAAAATTCTTGACTAAATATGTATTAATATCGAACATCTACGTGACAAAGTGCGTAGTTGAGTCCTACATGGATTCTAGGTTTGTAGAGATAGCAGAAATAGCAAAGAAGACAATCTGATCTAAATAGGTGTGTCATGGAGGTAAGATAAATTCGTGACTAAGACCAACTATCCGACGTTCTCAGAGAGTATGAGAGAATTGTTCGATGTTGACGACGAGTCTGGTTGTGACAGCGCGGATGGATCCGATGATGATTATGAAAGCCTAGATGCATGAGCTAGTTGTTAGTACACTAACCACACTCTTCTGTACTCATTCGGTACTAAAAGTCTAATACAATTGATTAAAATCATTATTGAAATCAAGTATTTTAAGGAAATTTTAGTAACCTGAAATTATTTTAATACAAATTAGGTTTTTCCCACCCCTGGTTTCTAGAGGCAAGATTGATGATTTGGTGAGGAATCATCAATCTTGCTAACCCTAAACATGATCATCCTGAGGGATTCTTTTGAAAAATATATTGTGTAAATATTCCATGTCAAACACCTACTAATATAATAAAAAGGCTTGGAACCAAACATCAAATGGCACACAATGGAGCGGTGATAACGTGTTCAGTTTTAATATGGAAAACATGTACTATTATATGAACAGCTGGCTCAAAATAACTGCATCAACTTGTTACTCCAACATGGTAAAAAAGTTTCATTATTGATGTGGATTATCAGGTTCAGCACTCTAGACGCCAAGACTTCGTCATGAGTTAAACTTGAGGTAGTCTCTAGTGAACTGAGATCTACTCCAACCTGAGACAAAAAAACAACCAATACTCTATCCAAGCTAGTGATGAGACTTCTAAATCTCGTAATTCCTTAGCAATAGGATCCTAGCGGTGTCTTTCCGGTGGTTGACGCGTTGGTAATCTCCCCTCCAGAGGGCAAACAGCTGCCATTAGTTGATAATACCCCTTAGGCTTGGAAAAAGCTGAATAATTTCCATAATGATGAGCCCCCGCTCAGAAAAAAATCGTCATAAAATTATATCTGATGGTTAGAGATCAAAATTCGGCCGGTGAAGATATTACTTACTACCTCTGAATCACATTACTTTCTCTCAGGCCTATATCCGATGTTCCGGATGCGGGGGTCTCTTATATATAAGAGTTCAAACGTTAGGAAATAGGAAAGTAAGATCCACGAGCACGCGCTTTTGTGGACTCTGCTTAATCTCAGTTAGACAATATTTTCTCTGTCTAACAGACTTGGCGTCTAGAGAATTTTCCAGTTATTACTTTGACCCTTCAGCAGCCGACAGAAGCTCAGTGGATCTGAGCACACATGCCGGTTCACAAACGAAAGCACGGACGATTTGCTTTTGATAAGCTGACTATTGAACTGGGCTCCACTCCTACTGAGATGGCCACGAAGAACAATGCGACCGCTTTTCCGGACTCTCATTGAACCTGGTTTACCAGTATGTGCTCGAGTCCTTGAGCTGAGTAGTTTCGTGCCTGGTGACGTACTACAGCGCGTTGAAATCTATCAAGTACTCAAAACGAAATCTCGATCGATTGCGTGTCTGATCCTCGCCCGACGACTCGCCCCACCAGGAAGGAAGGGGCAAGGAAACCCATCGGGTGCACATGCGATTGTGAAGCCTCGAAAGTTTTGCACTGGGCTCTCGTTGCAGCTCGTGTTCTTGTTCTGCTTATTGACTGGTCGACAGTTTTGAAGAAGTGGGCCCCCAGCGTTGCCTTTCATGGCAGCGTACCATATCCATGTGAGGGTGAGCTCGAGCCTGATCGGAGTTTTCTTCCACATGCAGCCGACTTGATTTCTGCTGAATTGAACTAGGATTGGCCCGATCCCGATCGAGGACTCTTTAAATGATCGCGTTCGCAGAGAGAATCGTACTCCAAACGCAACTCCAACCTTCAAGAAAACGAAAAGCTATGACGACGTCGGACAGCTAGCCAAGGGCTCCCCGACCACGAGGGATCAGGAGACTAGAACTCACACCCGGTCATCATCGCTCACCCTGCGCTTGAATCTGCCAAATCCACAGACGATCGCCATCGTTTCAGTCCAGACACGACGAGGACAAACGGACGATCTCAGCAGAGAAACGCAATCGTCGGCGGAGCGCAATGGAGAGAGAATCACAGTCCGGGATCCAGAGTCAAAATCGAGGGACCTCGTCGGAGATCTGGCAGACGATTACTCTGAGAGCTGCATCTTGGTGGGCATGGGCCTGCAACAACCTTCATCCGTCTCTGCTGCTGGTGATCAAAGCTGTGTTCTGGATCGTGGTATTTTCGGGGTTACTCGTGTGCGTCTTGGTTTCAGGTTCCCTCTTTGTTGTCATCTACGGGATCTTCATGGCTCCTTACATGTTCGTTCTTTTCTGGCTCGTCGATGCAGTGCCCCTTAGGCATTCCACCCAACCTGAACCAGAACAACCAACTTTCTACGTTGAAATGGTACAAATTCTCTTCGTGCTAGCCAGTGTCCTCCTTTACTACATTCTGTACACGCTCCTCAGTCTCGCTCAGAAACTCTTTCCTGAACAAATTGAGAAACTCTCACCGGAAAACATGAACGAGCTGCCACTTCTCCTCAGAATTGTCAGCGGGTTCGCATTCTACATCGTATTCAGTGTACTAGGGGCTGTTTTCACCGTTTCCCTCATTGCCGTCGTTATTTTTGTTGCGTACCTTCCGTACAATGCATTCTTGATTTGTGACAGCCTCGGCCGCCATGTTCCCTGGTATGTGATTCTGGGTGCCTTCGTCACTGTCTTCCTTTCAATTGTAGCGGTGGCTGGGTATTGTTCAGACCAGAGAAGTGTCTCGGTCGTCGGTCCTAGGCCTGCCAGAACTGTCGACGGCGATGAGTTAGTTCAGATGGTAGACGTTTGACGCTGTTCTCAACTGTTCGATATTTCTTCCATGTCGAGTATAGTTCTCCTCAAACTGACTTCTGGCGACGGCACGCTTTAACTCTTTGTGTGTCATGATCTACACTTCGCATTCATGTAATCTAGCATGAGAAAATTTCCGTTTTCGAACTTTTGTGCTCTAACTTGAATTTTTTGTTTGATTTGGATGGGTGAACTTGTAACATTGTTCACGGGTCGGCTAACGGCTAGCCGGCTAATTTTTTTGTTAGCCGGTCAGTCAACTCAGCCGGAACGCTATCCAAGGACGAAAACGATCCGAAAACCTGGATCGACTCTGAGTTTTCGACCGATTATTTCGGCTGATTCAGCCGAAATTTATCCCAAATCCTTATTTCGACCGAATATTTAGCCGAAATACGTTTTCGGCCGATAGCCGTGAACTAATCGGCTAATTGGCCGGCTATCCGGCTAAATTTGAGTCCTTAGTCGGCTACGTGACCATGTCTAGGCGTGCTATGGGAGCTGCATGGGTTGCAAGATGGCGAATTCCGTTGAAGCAGCTCATTCTCGTAGAATTATCTTCAGTAGGCTTGGCATGAAGAATACCGAATTCGAAGCACAAAATAGGGATGTTATTAGAATTCATGAGCTTTTCTTAATCTTAATACAAACCGTGTTTTGGCTAGCACCGTGGTAACAAAATTATTATTTTTCTTTCCTATATCAGTGATATGGTTTTTTTTAGTAGAGATACATGTAACATTTACCAAACCTATTCTGCAACATCTTAGAAAATAGTTGATGATAGATAATCAAATTGTCAAGTTTTATGAGGATACATTTAGGAGTAAAAACAAGGCTCAGTTTCTTGTATTGAATTCTACTCCTGACAAGAATTAGTCGTGTTGACAAGTTACTCGAGATTTGTCAGGTTTTTTCAATTGTTGACTACATAGCGGAAGCCAACAGATTACTTTAAATTTATACCCAGGC